TCGCACACGCTCGAATGGCCGATGCAAGTAACACAATCTAACGTGCCACGACAGCGATTTGCACCGTGCAATACGTCAGCTCTTTCGATCGTTGTCTATATATATAAATGATTAACGATTCATTTGAATGAAGACTATATATGGAGAAAAATGTTTGATTGAATTAAGTGGAATTTTGATTGAAAAAAACAGATGAATCAGATTAACTTTCTTTAGTTTAATCTATTAAATTCTAATAGGATGAAGACTATATGAGAAAAATGTCTGATTGGAATTCTAATTCGTCCTGTTTTTTCTTGTCCTGTCCTGAATAAAAATTCTTTGATATGATTCTTTGATTGATATAATCAAAATTTTCTGGTCCATTTTCATTCAGACATTTTTCTCGATGCAATGCATGCGGTTATGAAAACTCGCGCGAGCGGAAATCGATCGGATTCCGAACGTAAGGAGATTTTCGATCCGAAAGTAAACGACCGGAGTAGCGTCATTCGTTCGTCTCTTTCTATTCTCATTACTATATTTAGATACGCACTTAGAGTGCATCACAAATGTTGGAACAGGTATATACAGTGTGTGAATGACCGAATACGCATGACGAAACATTGCGTGTTCCATGGCTTGATGGCGGTGGAGCGCCGGCACGAGGGAGAGAAGAAAGAAAGAGAAAGTACAATCAGAACAAACGAGTGTGAAGGAGACGGCAGGTTGGACACGAGGACAACGAAGCAAATAGGTAGAGACAGGGACGTAACGCGACTTCGATTCTCGTATAAAATCAGGTGGCAAAAGAAACGCGCGAAAGATGCGAATTCGCGCTCAGGTTGGTTTTTGGGATAAACTGTCATCGAAAAAAAGAAGAAAAATAGATAATCACTTTTTTTTAACAGTACTTTTTTTTAACAGTGATTTTTCTTTGTATGTACGATCCACTTATGCCCATTTCCACCAACGTAGAAATTCTAATTTTTAGAACTAGAAAAAAATGAAGAGTAAGTTAAACCGAGATTAAAGTTAATCTACATTGGTGGAAACGGACATTAATGCTACAAATGTTTTGAAGCAATTTTTTGATTGATCAATTAGATATGAAATTCTTTCTCGCGATTGAAGAGAGAGAGAGAGAGGGAGGGGGAGGGAGAGAGAGAGGGAGGGGGAG